GATGAGCAATGAGCAATGACCAGTGAGCAGCCCCTCCCTAAACAAAGTGAAGCGCAGGACGGGGTCCGGTGGATGGGAGGCAAGGAAACGCGGGGGGTTGCCACGTGCGCTACCGCCGCCGCCGCAGGCAGCACCCCTGCGGCGGCGGCAGCGGCAGCAAGCCGTGGACCCAAACGCCGTGCCGCCGCCGCCGCAGGCAGCACCCCTGCGACGGCGGCGGCAGCAAGCCGTGGACCGAAACCCCGTGCCGCCGAGTCCCGTGGCTGTGGCCGTGGGCTTCTGGCAGGAAACTACGGCCGCAGCTCGGCAGCACGGGGGCGTCGCAGCGTGCCGCCGCCGCCGCGCTGCCCCCCGGGCACGGCGGCGGCGGCAGCAAGCTTGGGCCCAAACGCCGTGCCGCCGAGTCCCGTGGCTGCGACCGTAGACCGTGGGCCGGAAACTGCGGCCGCAGCTCGGCGGCACGTGGTTCTGGTCAAATCGCCAAGCGTGCAGCAGCGCCGAACCACGCTTCCCGGCCTCGGCGCATGCCTTCAGGGGCCCCCTATCGCTGGGCACACCCCTCCAACACCGAACATGCGCCCGGGGGGGAGGGCGGCCCGGGCGGCCCAGGCCAAAGTGGGCCGCCCTCGAGCAAGAGGCGGCCGGGCTGTGTGCTGAATGAATGAATGAATGAATGCTGGTTGACAATGTTAACATTAGAAAGTCGGCTGAACTTTCCAAGACCTCCACAAGCAACGGCTGGAAGGCGTCCACCGCTAAGGTCGGCACTGGCATCGCTGCGGTGCTGCTAACCATCGGTGCCTCAATCATCGACATCAGCGGCTGCATCCTGGGTTCCTCGTGCGGCTCATGCCGCAATTTTTACATTGCCATCAACAGTGGTGACGTGGACGGCACGTACCAGGGTCCCACGCTGCTCTATCAGGACGTCAAGTATGACTGGGGCTCAACCTGCCAGGCCTTCACCGAGCTCATCACATCGGAGACTGTTGGCGTGGGAGGCGTGGGCAGCAGCTCACGCACTTGGATGACTGGAGTAGACGGCTTTGTCGAGTATACTGTGCTGGATCTGGAGGGCAACAGGGTGAGCCATGGGCAAAACCCTGTGTTACAGTCACCCCGCTATGATAGGCCGCGTGAGCAGACCTTGGGCAGGGGGCACACGTGATCAAGGGGCATCAAGAGAGGGGGTGGACCATGGAGCACCCTCTCCATGGCTCCGACCACCCTCCCCCCAGCTGAGCGTCCCAGGGTCACCCCACCCTGGCCCCGCTCCCCGTCCTGCCGGACACGCAACCCCCACAACGTGGTGGGGGGCGTGGGGATCCTTAGCAGCTTAGGCCTGCCAGGCCGACGGGTGCCGATGCTGGTGTGGGCTCCCGGCGGCAGGCAGCGCCGCCGCCGGGCACTCAAATGGCATGGGGCACACGGGCCCCCATGCCCGCACATCTCCCAGGCACATGAAAATACCAGAAGGCTGCACATGTAAGGGTGCATGCATTGCAGGCAGGAGTGCAAAGTGGCCTGCCGCGGCGGTTGGCTGTGCCATTACTCAATCAGCCGCCGCTACTGTGCCGGGCTTGGCGTTCCCATGCCAACATGCCGGCGTACCATCGCGCAACGGGCCAGTGAGTGTGTGAGGTGGTGGTGGGGGTGGGGGGGGGG